ATGAAACAAGATATTTGAAAAAATAATCACAATATATTGTCAAATCAAGCTGTACATATGCTCCACCACTGGAGTGGAAGTTAAAAGAAAGGATATTATTCAAAACTACCTGACAATAAAATTATTAGAGCGTGATAATTAACCCTGCAAAACGTTTACCATGGTACACGTACGAAGGCTTTACAAATATAGGCCTTACAAATAATTTAACGCCTAAGCCTAAATTTAGCTGGATAGTGGTCTTATCTGGATAATGGTCTTCTTCCAGTTACAGCTCTAGACACAGCCGAGATGACCTCAGCTCACAAATGTCACAAATCAAAGACCTGTGCCTGCAGTGAGCCGTGACGTTAGGAGCGTAACAAGGTAGAGGCTGCTTGCCTCGTTTCCAAAATTTATGGTATGAAAAAAAACCCTAGAGAGAGAAACACCGTTTAAAAATCTACTCTCTTTTCTCTGTCTCAGACAGAACTACCCGTTTAAAATACTCAAAACTTGAAGTAAAATCCATGTACGTTCTCTTTTACGAGAAAAGTAAGGCAAATGTAGATAAAAATGTTCTAAAGTGGTATACCCTCAGAAAGTTATCCCTTGTTCCAAAGTTATGGCAGCTCAAAAATAAAAATCATGATCAATGTATTGTAGTAAGCCCAAAAGACAGTGACATCTAGGCACTACCGTATATTTGAATACCTACTTAAAATGGCAAACAAAGTCAAGAACACTAACAATTTCAGTAAGGAATAATCAGTATATCAATATCTATAAAATACCCAATTAAAATGGTATGTTAGCTGTTCAGAGTTTTTTATCAAGGGGAAGGGATGGCTTCCAACAAAATTGGCTGCAAAACAGCTACAAAACAAAGCTGGATGAGTATGAATGGTGATTCTCTGCAATGACTTTCCACTAAAAGGAAGCAGATATTGAACAAACTTCTTCAGGAACATGCATTAATGGACGTGGAATACAAAAGAGAACTTACCGCTGGAGGTTAAAATCCTATTAGAAAATGGACGGGTAGTACCCAAAATCAAAATAACTAGACGTAACGTACAGAATAAATGGGTACTACTCCATAAACTGGACTTTGAGGCGTTACTATCAAGAAATCTGGAAGCTAATGAAACGGCACCCACACCACAATCTCCGCATGAAAGTAAAAACAAAATGACGCTGGACACCTCCATACACCAAGTTTTTAAAACAAGGTATTTTGATCGGATATCAAATATTAACAGAAGGTTCAATGAGTGACCTTGAAGAAGGTATCTTGATAGAACCAAATATCCCTATACGGCTAGTACGTGTAACATCACAAGGTGGTGCGCTGGTTGCTAACTCTCTACGAGGGACCAACACAATTGTATGAGGAAATTTCGAAGATAGTGTTCAAAAGATTTCAACACAATACTGAATCGCTCAAAAAGAAAGATAATACGTGTGAAATTATACAATAAACTATGAAGTTTGCCAAAAGAAAATCATTGAAAAGGGTTTGGCCTAGGAATCGGTTCCCTACAATCAATAAAGAGAAATTCAAATTACTGATAAGTGATCAAAATAGTAAAAAGGAGGTTACGTGATTTTGACTCGTGACAACTTTAAAGCCATATAGAAAAAATAGATATAGTAAAGGTAGTGCGCCTCTATATCATTTTGTTGGATACAGTGAGCCAAGTGTTTGCTTTTAGCTTTTTTAGGTACTCGAAAGTTTGGATTAAAATCATTTTGAAAGAGAATATGGCTGTTGCTATCCAGATATTTCGAAAAACCGAGTTAAGTATCTCATGCAAAATATGCAACCCTTTTATCTCCAATCTGTTGATTCATAAAGATGATTTTATGTAGTTTTTACCTACGAGAATTGGGAATTAAGCTAAAATTGCGCATGTGCTGTACTTACCGTTAATAAATATCCACTTCCGTTTGATCGCCGTATTAAATTTATTCCTGTTTTAGTAGCAACATAGATGGTATTTATATCCTGTAGACCCTGTACAGCTGACTAATTGAATATCATTTTCCAAGTAAAAAAATGTCACCAGGTAGGTTGACTCCACCTCCCACGCAACGCCGCTACCAGTTCATAAAGGATTATGTTGAGCACCAGCCAGACCCTTTGAGAAAACACTCAGTCAAACCGGTCCATACAATTAGTCCATAGAGAATATTCACCTGCTCTGCCGGTGGTGCATATGGAAACATTGCCTGTCCTCGATACTTAACTCGGTTACACGTGACAGCGCGGTCAGGGCCTAGGAAACACTAGGCTTTTGCAGATCGACAGACCGACAGACAGACAGGCCGACGGATCTCAGTGACATGACGTTTCGTGATGTGCATGTCATATAACATCCAAAGAAGGTATATAATATCTCATTCTCAAAAATTTTCACGATAACAATACTTCCCCGTCAGTATTCCTGGGAAGCAAGATGTACAAATACTGTCATGCTTGGCTCCTTCCAGTCTTACTCGAATTCGTTGGATTGAATCACCGATCTGCATCTGAAATCCCTCCCCCAACCCCCATCACCTTGCCTTACTACATTTCATCTCCCTCCAGGTTTCCCTCTGTCCACTAAACTATCCGCTATCCCTGCCTGTGATAGCATTAGCTAATCCTAGTCGTTGAAGGGGTTCAACTGTACCGCTTTCAACAGTAGCGTCATTGGCACGTAAGATATCGTATCTGAATACACGAAAATGCAGTTTCCCGAAAGGTTAATGACTATGATTGTTATATAAGTGTTAAAAAGTGTCCTTTCTCAAGTTGCCAACGTTTCGGTTTTATCGTCTTATTCGGGACTAAGAAGTGTGAAAAAGTAGTTTATGCTGACTTATTTTAACAGTTAGCATATTGTATCGAAGCAGTAAAAGAAGACAAAGGGAAATTTATTCGTCAGACTTACCATAAAGTGGGCCGGAAAGTTCTTCTTTCGATGGGATGAAACGTTTACCGTGGGCTGATTGACTTTTTATTATAGTTTCCTTATCTATTCTTCCGTAAGCCTTTAAAAAGCATAAATCCTGGTTAGGTGCTTTTACCGCTAAAGTGCATTGCAATCACGGTTTTACGTATGGTGTCACGATCTAAGAGAGCTACTTTATCCTTATTAGAAAATTTGATCTGGGAACTTGGTAACTCTATTTTTAATGAATAGATTGCTCTGGCCATCCATCGAGCTTGATGCATCGCGCCTGGCGGTCGAATCTTATTTTTTTCTCCGTATCTCCGCCAAGAAATATTATTGAAGGTTCTATTAATTCTCAATAGTCGCCTGTAGCAACTTATTTGGTCAATTCATGTCGATAAAATTCTAGCAGCTTGTCACGCTGTGAAATATTCAGGCAAGGTAGCTTTTCAGTATAAATCGGTAGTTTCTCGGAATTCACACCCTCGCGAAACTATTTAAACATTGGAATGACAGCATCTGTAGTCAATTGGTCGATGTTTGATTAAAATACGCCTTTTAACGCCAATTCGTAGACGTGATGGTGGCAAGCAAAAATAAGCATTTCTTTATTAAGTTTCTCTTCGAGAAGTACACAGGTTAATGCACGTATTTGAAGTAGTAGTATTGCAACAAATAATCTGAACTTTATCCTCAATATTCTAGTCAATAATAGCACCTCAAACTACCTGAGACTGCTTGCTGCATGAAGAGTTATCCAATTTGGACGCAGTGATAAGTTGCTATTTATTTTCACACGTGATAATAATCGGTAGATGTTCTTCTTTAGGTTTGAGTGTATTTAAAGACAACAATTTGTCATTCCAGTTGACAGTTACAGTATCCGGTACCTTTCTAAGAAAATCAAGCTCTGTAGCTTCTGCATGCTCCTTTCGCTTTTCGGTTCGAATTCTTTATAGAAAACTCGTCAGTGTTATGTTCAAGTGCCTCAATGATTGCTCCAATAATAAAAACAGCATCATATTACATAACTGACACTAATGCTGCGACTAATTTTGGAGTTCTGAAACTTTTCCTCGTTTTAGTTTGATCAGTATCAGGTTATGTGCTTTCAGTTGGGATGGGCAGAGTTTCTTGCAAGTCTATCTTGGAATCTGAATATGAATTTTCTTGCATTGGTTCGTAAGATGATGTCGTTAAGGAGCAACATATTTAGCACGCCGCTTTTGTCCCTAAGATGTGCCGTTTCTTCTTTTATGGCTAATTTATTGTCCACCACATCTAAATGACCAGGTCGACTTGGCTTCCTTTGCCCTTCAAGAAGATGCTATCTTCAGTTTTTTTCATCAATTGAAGGGCATAGACATGCACAATGTCAAACAGATTGTTCAAGCTCGTAACAAACTCTTGTCGACGTTGCTCAAACACTTTTTGTGTTTTGCTTGCATTTTTTGGTTAATTTGATACAAGGTAAATAGTTTCTTATCACAGTTAGGTAGAGATTTAGCCGGTATACGTGGCTTTTCCCAGTAAATAATGCCCTCACGAATAATAAGATTAGCCCTAACATTGACACTTAATTTCACTTCCCGGATAATTATATAATTTGTGATTAAACGACTTACTTAGTAAGGAAGTTCAATCGGAATTATTCGAAGTCCGGTCCACTAGAACAGATATCGTAGAATGCTATTCGGTAACGAAGCGGGCCACCTGTGAAAAGTAACATGGATCTCCAGACCCTGAGCTATACGAATATCTCATTATGCTTTTTATTTGATAGTCATTTTATTTTTTGGGTATGTGGTACTACGCGTCTAGGATGGGGTGGGATGTGTTCTAGTGGACCGGACTTCGAATAATTCTGATTGAACTTCCTTACTAGGTAAGTCGTTTAATCTCAAATTATCATTCAGTCCGGTCCACTAGAACACATATCGTAGATGCTTAAAGTATTAAATGAGTTAGCAAATGTTATTATGTAATAACGTAAAGAGGATTTAAGGAATAATCAAATTCTTAGATATGGATTGAATATAAAGTATTTTAATACAAAATGCGAGAACACAAATTTTTTCATATATTTCCTTAACTTTTTTTTTATATATATTAATTAAGGCAGAACAACTAACAATTAGTTTATATACAATAACAAGAACGTAACAAGAAATAGAACATACGATATAGAAACGTCCTTATTCTGAACCCATATGTTATAGACCAACAAACGTAACTAGAGTCTAACACAATATTTTAGTAGGTAGTAATGTAACTATTCCCTGCGTGACCTGAGTTGTTTGTTTTCCGTACCAGCTAGTACGCTATTTATGAAAAAACTGCTATCTAACGGCCTGTTATAAAACTTAAAAAACACGTTAGACCGTTCTGACCAGCCTACTGTGGCTCTTATAGTTTCAATGTTAGTACCAGATCTGTAGGCTGCAGAAACAGCTGTATGCCTAGTACCCAGAGAATGTTCCAGTATTTATTCCAGCCAGTCCTAGAATTTTCTTTAACCACCTGGAAAGAGTTTGAGTCGAGGCTCGATGGGACGGTTTTTAATGGTCAAAAATAACTCCCGTATATTATTATGTTCTGACTTCTACTTAAAAATTCTATCAATGTGCTAGATAGACATAGCTCTGGGGTCTCTCTAAAGAAGCTGAATCTCAGTCTAGGTTGGATCCTACCGGGGCCTGATGTTTTTAGGATATCCGGTATTAAAATATCTATGAAGTCAGTTCTTTGATAAATATTATCTATTTTAATTTTTGAAAAAGTTTGTAATCTTTGTGCTGTGCCTAAGGCGAACAGCATAACCAGCTTATAGGTTAGGTCTGCAAAGCTTAGGGAAGAAAGGGGATGTAAAGATGACAAATATGCAATTACGGGATTTGGGTCCCAAGTTGCTTGACATTTTGGGAATACAGGTTTGATCTTAAATGCACCTTTAAAGTAACTACTAATAACTTTCTCATCAAATTCCTTATTTATAATTAAATAATAAACATATTCAGTGTTGTATAACTAGCACCCTCCTGAAAACTATTATCTAGAAAATCAACGTAATCTGCTGTTGGGGGATTAAAGCAGTCTACTGCTCCACGGATGCAAAATTCCCACCATTTTTTGTAGGCGGTATTGTATTGTATCAGTGTATTAGGATTTAATGAAGAGATAACTACTTCTAAAGCTGATTCCGTGAGTCTTCTTGGAGCAAGAGCTTCCCTGATAAAATTCCTGACACCAGGGTAAGCTTTGGCCAAAGCGGATGTGGTTCCCTATTTGGAGAGTATAAAATATTTCTAGTAAGAGTTAAATAAACCAATTTTGACTTGACAATCTTATTGAAAATTGGATACCAAGGTTGTGCCCTCCACAGAGGGACCACCTATACCCCCTCATCTTTGATAATTTTATTCAACGTTCTCATTATCAAAGAAAAAGGAGGGAATGCCACGCCTTTTTTATGAATAAATGAAATGGTGGTTTCTTTCCTGTTTTTCTTCTTTTAATGGATGAAACACGAGAAGTAAGATCAAATGGTCAGTCAATACAAATTAACTGTCTAGTGGCCACAAATCCCCGAGATGTTAGTCGGAACTTGTCTTGCTTTACCGCCCACGCAAAGGAGAAGAATCTAGTAGCAATGACGTCAAAAACTTAAGGACTACAGGGAGCCAAATAAAATGCAAGATACTTAAAACAGTCACAATATATTAACTAATTAACTAGCCCATATCTTCCATAACAATATTTCCCACTACTGCAGTGTAAATTAAAAAAAGATATTATTTAAAATTACAAGAGAAAGATTAAATCGTAAAAAGTATCACTGCTAAACGTTTACCATGGTATACGAACGCGACAGGTCCTACAAACATTACAGCGCCAGAAGAATTGACATTTACTCATTTAAAAAGAAAACTAAAACCTAAACTTATCTGGACTTCTTTGAGTTACAGCTTTGGATGCAGTCGAGATAACCGCAGCTCACAGAAGATCAGGCTTTTTTGCTAAAATGGGCTGCTTGCCTCGCACTTAAAATTTTGCGGCGCAGGAGAAAAAAAACCTAGGGAGAAAGACTGCTTAAAAATCTATTCTCTCTTCGTTTTATAAAACAAAACTACTCAGTAAAATACTCGAACTTAAAAAACCATGTACATTTTTATAAAAAAAAGTAATGCACAGGCAAAAAAAAGGGAAGTGCATTAAAGTAACATACCCTCGTTTAGAAAAAGTCTTGGTCAATATAATGAAGAAAGCTCGAGACAAGGTGCCAATGTAGGCCTTGCCCCATATTTGAACACGAAAAATGACAGAGAAAAACAAGTACACTCTAAGATTTTCAGTCAACAATAGTCAATATACAGATATTCATAACAGAGTTAATTAAAATGATATTTTACCTGTTTACATCAGGGTCTTGTTCTCACGAGAAAGGGGTGGTTTTCAGAAAATTCGGCTACAACCGTCTACAAAACAGCTTCAAACAGGAGTACGGATGGTGGTTATCCTCAATGCCTTCCCACTAAAAGGAAACTTGACGCCCACTTAAGCCAACTTCTTCTGGACATGCATTAATGCAGGTGGCTAGATGATATAAAAACAAGAACGTACCGTTCAAGAGGTTAAAATCCCATAAAAAATGGACGGAGTGGCACCAAACAATAACTGAAGCAAACCACTATAGGTAGAGTAGGTAAGAAAAAGTATTACTCAATAAACTGGTGATTTTGCCCAATATCGCAAAATTTGGAAGCCAAATGAAGAAGCGACACACGTTGTCACCAAAGTTTCAGCAGGAAATAATCGACACGAAGTTGACTGCCAAGCAATGTCAAGAGTAGGACGGCATTCCAAAATTCGACGCTCTACAGGATAGATACCAAAACTTCATCGAATCCAAAATGAGTACCACTAAAAGTAACAATAATAATAACGAATGAAAAAGTCTGCAACCGAACCTATATACAGACAATAATGCTGACTATCTGCCGGTAGATCCTAGGAAACCAACTTTACTAGGGACCAACGATGTCTTATGAAGAAATTTCTGAGATAAAACGAGTAAGTCATTAATAAGGTATTATAACATTAGTGTCCTAAAAAATTGGCACAATAGTCGTTAAGAAACAAAATTAAATCATTGAAAAGGGTTTCGTCTAGAAATCAGTACTCTATAATTAATAGAGGGAAATTCAACTTACTGGTAAGTGATCAAAATAGTAGAAAAAACATAACAAGACGTTCATTTGGGTGATTCTCAGTTAACATGAGTTACATTATCTATTTATGTACTAAGAAGACGAACGACAAAGCAAAAGGTGTCTTCTTATAAGAAGTCTGGTTTAAACTATTTTTCCATGACTAGAGTTCCAGTATTCTACATAGCTGACCATTATATTTCAACATATTCAGATAGCTGTTTTCGAAAATCTTGTACTATTTGTAATAATGAATTTGTTGTTACTCAATTGTATTTTCGCCAATTGTTCTCAAAGTTGGAACTTCCCGTTATAGAGCGAATAGGCATGATTTTTCAGTAACATATATACCAAAGCTTTGAAATAACCGAAATATAAGGTTCCAAAAAGCCCTGCCGCTTCCCCTCCCACAATCCCCTCTTACGTCAAAATGTATGATGTTGATGACTATGTAACTGTGAGTTAGTATGCATATCAGGCATCGCGTGGGGTCTAGGTTAATTTTCTTTTTATATCGTGCAAAAGTTGTCTGGCCTGAACTCAGCTAAAGGCCTAGACAGCCTCAAATGTTACAAATTTAGGCAGATTTAAACAAACTCGTATTTTTGAATCGAGCAGCGATAACTTCCAGCAGCAGCGTTTACAAACAAAACATGGGACAGGGCAGTGCTTGAAAATTACTTACCAAATTCCTCAATTTCTTTTTTACATTTCCGGTGTTGTTTTACCGCAAATTAGCTTTGCTATAGCAAACGTAATAGACTCTGAAAAGGACAGTCCCAACTTTCAGTACACCCTGTACTCAATTTTTTAGCCGTGGTGGCTATATCGACTAAATCGTTCTGATTATAACTAACATTTGCTTCATTACTTTGTGCAAAACAACACATCCACTCATAAACGTCGGTGTCACCAGGAAGTACGAAGCAGTACGAAGTAGGACTCTGTCACGATATGAGATATTTTTATAGTCATCAAACAATCAGCTTCTACTTGTTGCTATGTTTTAACTTTTGACATGTTGGTATCATGAAAATAGTGTAATATACGGCGTTGTCCTCCGTTTGGTCGGTATTTTTCTCGGTATTTTTTCAATGTCACCTACAAGCTGAAGAGAAGTGACCATATAAAATATAAAAGGAGAAACCGAGCAATTTAGCCTTCGAACAATTCTTTAGTAGTGGCTTCGCCTTGATAAATTCGTTTTACGGCTTAGCAGGCCTTCAGACGTAGAGGAAATCACGTCGTAGCTGGGTCCAATCATTGTGTTCTGCGATGGCGCTTCTTCGGCTGATTTGAGATTCTATTGGTCCTGATTGACCGAGCGGCGCTGCCGGTGGCAAAATGGTAAAGCAGCGAGAGCGCTCACTTGGACTCGTCATAACATACATAAAGGAGATTTCCGCGTGAAAGAAAAATAAGGGAAAATGATGATAATTTTTGCGACTGCCGACTGTCGAGCAATCCCTCGTTGTTTTGACTTTCCTTTTGTGTTATAGTGCGGGAGGGTATAATACATTTATACATGGATTGAGCTAAAACGATTTTACTCGATGGTGTTCTAGATCCTAGCAGGTCCTAATCGGCATTTTACCTTCGCTTCTATTCGCCATTATAATAATACTTGTGTTTTATTGTTATGGTGAAAAATATATGACATGCATTTACACTAGAGACATATAGAATGGAACCTTCAACTTGAAAATTTCGAGATAGTCGCTGGGGGCCATCTCGGAGTTTTTATAATAATAATAGTATATCCTTATTGCCAGTGAACGAATGACTGAAGAAATTAGAGGCATACCGGCCACTATGAGGGGCCGGCACATAGGCCGCATAAACGGTTCCTCAGGCGCTACCACATTCTCTAAGCCCCCCGGTATAGTCTGCCTGTAATTGCACAGAGCCTCAAAGCGATACAGAAAATGCATCTACTCCGCAACGCTCACACATGGGAACCTCAGCCACCCCCATCGCATGAAGGCGACGCCTCATCGTATTATGGCCAGTCAACAGTCTCACCAACAACCTAAGGTGAGAGATGGTGCTTCTCCATTTCAGAGACCTTTGTCAAAAATGCCCATATGCCCTGACTCCGCAGTTCATGTGCCGCTACTCTCGACTCTCCCTTGATCACTAGAGTCCGATGGTGGGAAATCCAGCAGGGCTTTCATTGCACTTAGTGGCGTTGTTCGCACTGCGCTTGTAATACTGATGTAAGCCAAACGCTGAATTTGATTGATTTTGACCTTAGTTGTCTAAATTTCAATCCAAGGCCACCAACCAAAGGAGCCATACCAAAAAGATGGGCGTATTATCGTCGTATAGATCCAGTTTACCACCTTGGTTTTAAGTTCCCGTCCTCACTCCGACAACGCGTCTGCAAGCCCACGGTAAATTGAGAGCCCTGTTAACCTTGTACTCAGCATGCTGTTCCCAATCCAGCCTACAGTCCAAGATAATTCCTAGATATTTTGCTGATTGGGTTTGAACCAGTCTAGTCCCACAGAAGGTTTGCAAGACAAGCCCGTCAAGCTTCCTTCTCCCAGTTCGGTCTTTGTAGCGTTAACAGGAGGATCGACCTTTCTGCACTACGATCCTACAGCGCTC